ATCTCAGCTCACCGCAACCTCCGCCTCCCGGGTTCAGGCAATTCTCCTGCCTCAGCCTCCTGAGTAGCTGGGATTACAGGCACGCGCCACCATGCCCAGCTAATTTTTTGTAGTTTTAGTGGAGACGGGGTTTCACCACGTTGACCAGGATGGTCTCGATCTCTTGACCTCGTGATCCACCCGCCTCGGCCTCCCAAAGTGCTGGGATTACAGGCGTGAGCCACCGTGCCCGGCCCTTTAATGAGTTTTCTAGCGAGCTTTTCGTTCTCTCCTTTTTCCTTTTAGGCACCAACGGAGAGGCAGCTTCGATATAAGGAAAAAGTGGCTGAACTCAGGAAGAAAAGAAATTCTGGACTGAGCAAAGAACAGAAAGAGAAATACATGGTGAGGAAAAGTTAAATATTTAATGAGCATGAGCTCCGGCTATATTTGATTCCTTTTGCTTTCTGAGCTTCTGCCTTTCAGATTTGCCATTTAGTATTCTCTGCATGTGACTACCAAGTGACTCCTCTATGGCATTTAAAGTTTATTTCATCCCCAAAACTTGAGTTGTTGAGAGTGGAAACAGGAGGTCTTGGGAAAATGAAATACAATTAGAATTTATATTAAAAAAAAATTGACCCTCTAGTTGTTCATAAATTTTACTGTCATCTTAAAGGATCAAATTTACCCACTAGAACACATGTCGTGGCACTGGAGATATCTGAAGAAAAATATTCAAGCTTAATAGTAGGCTGCTTATTTTAATGGAAAAATAGATTTCCTCTATGATTAAAAGGTATTAATTGGGTGAATATTCTATAATAGATCTTCTTGTAGTATTTTAACATTTTTTTTCTAACTTTAGAAGTGATGTACATTTGTAAGAGAATTTAGAGTAATTAAGCAAAGTGTGTGGAAGAAAACAAATCCTATGACTTAAAAATAGCCAGAGTTAGTGTTTTTGGATATATCCTAGCTTTTTCACAATCCCTTATTTACATAATTAGCTTCTCACTGTATGTAGCACTTTAGATTCTGTCTTTTCACTTAAACATCTTTTTTAGGAAAAGATTTTATTCTAAATGTATTAATACATGCTTACTACTGAAAATACTGAAAATGTAGAGAAGAAACATTCCAATAAAAAATTGTTCTTCAGGATAGAAACCACTGCTTAACATTTTGACGTGTGTTCTTTCAGTCTTTTTCTTTTTTTTAAAGCATTTATTTTAAATTTTAGATAAGGGGCTACATATGCAGATTTGTTACATAGATCTGTTGTGTGTTGTTAAGACTTAGGCTTCTAATGATCCTGTCACCCAGGTAGTGAACATAGCACCTGAAAGGTAGTTTTTTGACCCTTGTCCCTCTCCCCCCTTTTGGAATCCTCAGTGTTTAATGTTGCATTCTTTGTGTCCCTCTGTACCCAGTGGTTAGCTCCCACTTGTAAGTGAGAACACGCTGTGTTTGGTTTTCTGGTTTTTTTGTTAATTTGCTTAGGGTAATGGCCTCCAGCTGCATCCATGTTGCTGCAAAGGACATGATTTCATTCTTTTTTATGGCTGCTCTTTTAGGCTTTTTCTGACATTTTAATTTTTTTTTTTCAATAGAGTTGGAATGTTTTCTTATTTAGCCATTAGAATAGATTCTTAAATGTAGGGCTTGTGAAGACTTAGAGCATGGTTTCACTGTGACAAAAATATGCCAGACTATGTATAGTTGACCCCTTGTATCCATGGATTTTGTTCCCGTGGATTTAACCAACCACGGATCAGAAATATTTGAGGGGAAAAAAGTGTGTGTGTGTCTGTACTGAACATGTACAGACTTTTTCTTGTCATTTTTTATGAAGTAGCACAGTGTAACTGCTATTTACATGGCATTTACATCACATTATAAGTAATCTAAAGATGATTTAAAGTATACTACAGAATGTACCCAGGATGTAAAATATTACATCATTTTACGTAAAAGACTTGAGCATCCATGAATTTTGTTATATACAGGGAGGTTAGGGGACATTCCTGGAACTGGTGCCCCAGGGATCTCAAGGGATACTATATTTACTTTTTTTTTTTTTTGAGACAGAGTCTGACTCTGTCACCCAGGCTAGAGTGCAGCAGTGGTGCGATCTCAGCTCACTGCAACCTCTGCCTCCCCAGTTCTGGGTTCAAGTAATTCTTCTGCCTCAGCCTCCCAAGTAGCTGGAATAATAAGCGTGGGCCACCACACCCAGGTGATTTTTGTATTTTTAGTAGAGACAGGGTTTCACTACGTTGCCGAGACTGGTCTTGAACTCCTGAACTCATTTGCCCACCTCGGCCTCCCAAGATGCTGGGATTACAGGCGTGAGCCATTGCGCCTGGCATGTATTTACTTTTTTGATAGTCATCACTGTCTTAAATGATAATTTTAGGAATAAGTGGACATAGGCCAGTGTGTGATGGGTCGTGGGGTGAATTTGTAGTTAGACCTTTACACCAGACTCTGTTAGTTTGTAGAGTGAGGACTTTAGTAGTGGGCGATAGGGTACCAGGTTGTTTGCTTGTCCCAGTCTTGTTCACTGTTTCTATCTGCAGACTGGTTAGAAGTGTAATAAGACAATGATACCACATGTTGAGTGATGAGCGCTCGGCACTGTGGTTGTGATGTGCCTGTGATCTTCGTAACAGTCCAGGATGATCAGTGGTATTTCCCCTATTTTATATACAGGAAAACTAAGACAGAGAGGTCTTTGCCCAAAGAGAGGTAATTTGCCCAAAATCATACGGGTAGAAAATGTCTGAAGTAAAAGTTCCTGAAATTTTTAATCTTAACAGACAACTGCTTTTCAGTAATTTGGGATAGGTTATTAGGGTCCAACCTTCCTGATGAAAACGCTGGCTAGGATTTCTCAAGCTTGTTTTCCCCAGTGTTCCTCAAACTAGAAGAAATAACTAACGCTTTGAACCCAAATCTTAGATGATGGAGCCCAAATTTAAAAAGATTCACTGCAGATGGAACCAGATTAACCAGAAAAAAATTTAATAGGGATAAAGATGCTGATGAATGATGTCTTCATATGCTAATTTATGTGTGAAATCCATAATGTTTTCCTGGGATACTCCATCCACTCCACTTAACTACCATTATCTCCTATTCTCTGGATGGGAGGTGGAGCCTCGAACAGAGTGGGAAGGGCTAAAATCAAAGATTTAAAAGGGAAGTTTCCTTTGTAGAATTTCTTTCCTGGAAAGGATTCTTGTAGTGACCGCCATGGTAAGATTGGGAAATTATTTAAGATTGGATTATTTTCTTGCTTTTAATTTTCTGTGGCTTTTCCCTGTTTTATTCTTGCTTAATATTTAGAAAGGCTTTTTTTAAAGAGTCCAGCCTATTTTTCCTATACATGTGGACTGGAGTTTTAAAGTGAGAGTAGTACGCCTTCTGCAGACAGTGTAGCGGTGGCTGCGGCAATTCAAGTGAAAGAAGTTACAAAGGACTGCTTCATCCAGCTGCCCCTGCCCCTCCCTTCCTACAGATCTTTTCAGTCTAAACTCTTAGACACTAAGGCTTAGAGAATCTGGTTTTTGTTTGTTTTGTTTTTAAATCGGGCAGTATCCACCAAAGCTCCTTCCAGATTTCAGGATTCTGGGAATTTGTAGTGTCTCTGGGTTTGTTGTACTTTATTTATTTGTACTGTCATGCACATTTTTACATGAAGGAACGGAGGCAGAGTTCTGATCCTCGAAGTGCATCCATTTAGAGACAGAAGAATGAAGCCCCCTTCCAGAGATGTGGGAGCATTTCCTCTCCAGATTCACTGGGGTGGGTAGTGGGAATCTTCTGCATTAACCTGATAAGTATGTCTTGTGCTTAGTCCCTAGCACCTAGTATGTAGGCACTAAATAAAATGGTGGTATGGTTTGCATGGATTGAAATAAAGTTCTTAGAAACAGAGAGTATCAGAGTATCATGCTCTGGTTATTTTCCTAGGAACACAGACAGACCTATGGGAACACACGGGAACCTCTCTTAGAAAACCTGACAAGCGAGTATGACTTGGATCTTTTCCGAAGAGCACAAGCCCGGGCTTCAGAGGATTTGGTGAGTATTAAAACCTCCAAACTGAAGACCACTTGTGAAAGGTGCTTAGAACTGCCAAGAAAAATGATTGCAAATCAGTTTGATGGGAATTAAGTGTACCTTGCTTCTTGAATCTCTTTCCCTGTCTCCCAGCTGTCTCTTTGGAGACTGGCCTTCCCATTCAGATTTAAAACAAATCACCCCTCCTCCTTTCCTTTTTTTATTCCCTCCTTTCCACCTCAGCTCCTGGAAGTACCAGTTTGGCTAGAGCTAGTGAGGCTGGGTAAGACAGAAGGCTCCCCTTTGTCTCAGCTGGGCAATTTGCAATTCTGAGAACCTGTAGCCTAGGAGAGACTCATCTCTGTTGTTTTCTTAATCCCAAGAGGAACTCCCCTTTTGCAAGGTTTCCTCTGCACTAAGAATGAAAATAGCAGTGAAGGGGAATAATGGAAAAGGCTGTTGTCAGATGTTTTAGAATTAGTCTTTGACATAGCCAAGTTTGATACATTGGTTTTACATTCTGATCTTTATTTAGAGCTAGTTTATACTGAGTTTTGCTGTCCTAGGCAGAATTTTTAACAATTTTGCTTGAAAAAAATTCTGGTGATTGAGTTTACCTCTGATATAACAGATTAAATGTGTTCAGGGAAGCTCAACTTTTAAAGTGAATCTCATCTCCACCCACTACCCCCTTGTATTTAAAAAAAAAAAAATTGTATCGAATACTAGACCTGTTGAAGACTTGGTGGAGGCAGGATATGCTGGCTACCCTTGGCTGGACTGGGCAGTTGCTGATGCTGGTTTTCCCTATCCTATTCCTAAATGTATGGAGTATTTCCTAGGCTAACCTTTCACAAGTTTACACCTGTTGTGCTTACAAATTATGATACTTTTGTAGCCAACTCAGAGCATATCCAAAGAAAAAAACATTTTTTTTTTTTTTTTTTTTTTTTNTTTTTTTTCTGAGAGAGGGTCTTGCTCTGTTGCCTAAACTGGAGTGCGGTGATACTATCATGGCTCACCGCAGCCTCGACCTCCCTTGCTCAAGTGATTCTCACACGTCCGCCTCCTGAGTAGCTGGGACTACAGGCATGCCACCACACCCAGCCAGAAATACTTTCTATTTCCTAGAGTTTAGATTCCAGAATTATTATGCATCATTTCAAAAATAATTTTTAAAGGGCCTACTTTTTTTTCTAAGTGGCCATTGTAGATGTATGTCATAGAGATTCATATAGTTTTATAAAAGCTTCTGCAGAAGCTTACTTTAAGGCAGATTCTAAGTCAACATTTTGTTTAGCTTTAGAATACTTTATACGGGTTGAGAGTTTGTATCTGTGATGACTTTCTTGATAATTCAGTTTGGTCTGGGATGATAAAAATGAAGTTTCCAAGGTCTCATTTTGGTGAGGCCCAGAATGTGGGAGGTAGTGGAGAAACCCCCCTTTTGAGACATGTGCTCTGGGCAGTATGGGTAGTAAGTTTTCGATATGCCTGCCTGATTTTTCATGTAGCTGTCTTTAGTGTAAATTCTCATGAGTAGAAACCAAATCTGTCTGATTTTTTTTTATAGCCTAGCATGGTGGCATGTACACATGCTTTTAAAAAGAAAGGTATTGTTTATTTATTTATTTATTTTTTTAAAACAGTCTCACTCTGTCTCCCAGGCTGGAGTGTAGTGGCATGATCTCCTTTCACCATAACCTCTGCCTCCTCGGTTAAGTGGTTCTTCTGCCTCAACCTCCCAAGTAGCTAGGATTACAAGTGTTCGCCACCACACCTGGCTAATTGTTTTATGTTTAGTAGAGATGGGGTTTTGCCATTTCAGCCAGGCTGGTCTTGGACTCCTGGCCTCAAGTGATCTGTCCGTCTTAGCCTCCCAAAGTGTTGGATTACAGGAACCACCGTGCCCTGCCTAAAAACAAAGATAATAAAGTCTAATCCTCCTTTGACCTTTGATTTCTTGGCAATAGGAGAAGTTAAGGCTGCAAGGCCAAATCACAGAGGGAAGCAACATGATTAAAACAATTGCTTTTGGCCGCTACGAGCTTGATACTTGGTACCATTCTCCCTATCCTGAAGAATATGCACGGCTGGGACGTCTCTATATGTGTGAATTCTGTTTAAAATATATGAAGAGCCAAACGATACTCCGCCGGCACATGGTGAGTTGTCTTGGGTTCCTCTGCTTTGACCGTGATGACAATAAGCTGTAGGATCTCTAGATTTTGCCATAGCGATGACATCTATTCAGGCACCTTCTCGGTGTTCCTCAGCAGTAGGACGAAGGCATAGGAAATGGAAGGCCACAGTTCAAGGCACAGTGTAGAGCCTGAAGCATGGCTGGTGCTGGGTGCCCCCCAAAGCAGCTGAGGGCCCTTACCACATCCTGTCACATACATCTTCCTGTCTTTTGTTCTTGCTGCCTACTCCTCTGCATTTCCTGCTTGGAATATGAATTACTTCTGCCCACAGGCTTTGTGTGTACCAAACTAAATGAAAATACAGACTTCATTAGGCAGAGCAGGGACAGCATGGCTCACCTTTATATCCCTAGCAACTAGTGTGGACAGCTGATGCCCAGGAAACATGTGCTGAGTAGGTACTACCTTAATATTTAAGGGAGATCAGCCTGGGTTATGAAAGTAGCAGAATGGGTCCTTTGGTGCCTTACCCTCTTTTTCCTAATAATCTATTATTTCCTAATGAATCTGTTATTGTTGACAAATATGTTTACTAGATTTTTTGTAGCTTAAAAAAAGAAGCTGTTTTTTTCCCCCTGTGTTACAGAATACAGAAGCTTTGTCTTAAGGGGAATTTCTGCCATGGAGCAAGGATGGGGAGCAGGGGAAGGAGTGGAGATTAGATTGGCCTTTCAGACAGAGAAGACTTTTTTCGTTCTCTTCTTCTTCTTTTTTTTTTTGAAATGGAGTCTGGCTCTGTTGCCCAGGCAGGAGTGCAGTGGCACGATCTCAGCTAACTGCAGCCTTCGCCTCCTGGGTTCAAGCGATTCTCCTGCTTCAGGCTCCTGAGTAGCTGGGACTACAGGCATATGCCACCATGCCTGTCTAATTTTTGTGTTTTTAGTAGAGACGGGGTTTTACCGTGTTGGCCAGGATGGTCTCGATCTCTTGACCTTGTGATCCACCTGCCTGGGCCTCCCAAAAGTGCTGGGATTACAAGTGTGAGCCATCGTGCCAGGCCCTTGTTCTTATAATCACAATATAATTTGGCTCTAAGGCCTCTGGGGTGTCTCTTTTTTCTTCCCCTTCCTTTTTATTTTCCAGGATTTCTATATGCTGAGCAGGCGTCTTGTGATTTCTGTCGTTATACTCTCCCCACTTTGGTTGGTGATACTGCTTTTTTATGTTCCCAGTTCAGGAGCACATGGTCTGTAGGTTTGGGGCCCAGAACTGTTGCTTTGACTCAGGTTCTCCAGGCCCTGGCATACTTGACTGCATGGGGCTAGAGGTGATTAGCAGGGACTGCTAGAGATACCAGTACACAGGGAATAATGGGGTCAGAGGAGGGGCACTGACAGATGGCAGTCCATGGAGATAAAGTAAAATGGTTTTACTATGTGAAAGCAAAGCTGGTGTTTTTATTGATGTGAACTGCTTATCATTTATGCCTTTTTTTTTCCTTTTGTTTCTGGTTAAGTGACACTAACCAATGAAATAGCCAAAAGGGCAAGAAATAGTAGTAGAAGGAGAATAACAAAGGATCTAAATAAATCTGAGGATCAAATAAACATTCTGAGTATTTGAAAATCTACTGTATTATATGCTTTAAAAATCAGATTTCAAGAAATACCTATTTTACCCATGCCTGTTCTGATTCCCATTGCTTCAGGTGTGATCACTGAATTGAAATGGTCTTCCGGCTTGGCTTCTGTTTCTTTTCTTTTTTTTTTTTTGAGACCAAGTCTCAACTCCGTCACCCAGA